GGAGCACACAGCCTCAGTGAGCGAGCGAGACAGAGGGAGAGCGGAGAGAGAGAGCTAGGAAGGGAGGCAGGGAGGGAGAGAGAGAGAGAGGGGGAGAGAGAGAGAGCGAGCGAGAGAGCTAGGGAGGGAGGGAGAGAGAGAGAGAGCTAGGGAGAGCACACCTTTATCTATTTAATATAGATAAAGTAAGAAATCATCCCAATGTGTATAGGACAGTAAAAAAAAAAAAAAACAGTTTGAAAGGAGAGTGATTAGTAAAATATGCATAAATAAAAAGAAAGAATGCTAACTAGGTAACATAAGATAAGAATAAACCAGTTTAAATGATTTGTTATTGGTTGTGATCATATTCTAAAGATGTTTGGATTATTGAAAAGTATACAGCTCCCTTTCATCTGAGTGATGAGAGCTGTTTCCATCAATTCATGATGTGCTCAAAGTGCTCCAGATTGATGCATTTCACTTCAACATTTAAAATTAATCTTCCCGGGGGTGCATGCCCCTAGAGGAGGTGAGGACCCCCCTAGAGGAGGTGAGGACCCCCCTAGAGGATGTGAGGTCCACCCCCAAATAAAGCAGGTTAAAATAATTAAATTGCATGCATGTTCTTTTAGTAAACACTGAAAACGGGTCCCACAGACCCAAACAGCACACAAAGGTTAAAGGTCAGCATATCATAATGTTAAAATGTGCTAAATATATACACTGCAAAAAACAAAAAAAAAGAGGAGTAAAAGTAGCCCCCGACTTGTTTTATTTTTTTAAAGTAGCCCTCACCCTAAAAAAGGTTGGTGACCCCTGACGTAGAGCATCGGGGCAAGCAAAGGCATGGCTCAGCACCAGGGGGGCGGGGGGAACAAGGGCACTTTAGAGTGGTGCTCTAAATGTTATCACTTTGTCTTGAGGGCAATGTTTTTATAAAAGGTATTTTGGTTAGAATCCTGAAATACAATCTGTAGTCAACACAAGCTTAAGAGATGTTCACGTTTTGTTCAAAGTCATAAAAGGGGTCAGTAAATGCTCCACAGCGTTTCTGAAAGTCAAAATTATGATTCCCACATACCCAGGCGTTGCTGTGATCTTGTACTTGACCACCGATGAGTCTCCTCTCTCTCCAAAGATAAGGGCTCTGACAGGTTGAGGAGTCATCGGGATGTCGATACTCTCAGGAGTGCCTTCGTTTGTTGGAATTTGGTCCTCCTCTCTCTCATTCGCTTCAGAAAAAAATGAAAATTTGAATTTATTTTCAACAAAAAGTACTTAATGTTAGGATACTTAAAAAAAGGCACAAGCAACATGTCTGTAGTGCAAGTTTACACTGCATTAATATTACAATACAGATTCAGATTTGGAGGATGTAGTTTCTGATTGATTTTGCTTTTATTATCTAGTCTGCACTAACTGATATCAATTGACAGGTTTGACTGAAGTTCATAGTCCTATTTCTCAGACAGCAATATGTTCTGCTCCAGAAAAGTCAGCAGAAGGAAGATTAAATTGATAAAGCTTTGGCCGAATTTAACACTATTGTTAATTCTGTGTTATAGTTTCTTTGACCGTCTTGAAAAAGACTGCCGTGGCGCTTACATTTTGTGGCATGTGCCTTTACTGTAATAACAGATGTGTTTGGCTATATCAACATAATGGTAACAATACAATAAACAACAGTTTTCTAATAATGTCAAACTAAGCCGCCCCATCGTGAAACCAAAATACATGAAAAACATATATTTTTGATAAAACACACAGCCGTGCTACATGGGTGAATTGAGAGAGACACAATATATGGAACGTACGAGACGATAATCAGCTCCATACATCATGAGGCCAAATGATCTACTGATTGAAATGTGTGCAATGTAAACAATGCAACACAGCTCATTGATGCTATCATAAATAATATGAATGGTGAAAAACACACAGTGGTTACAAACAAGGCTCATTTGCCAACTACCTTGGATCTCTTCCTTTCTCTTCAGAATCTCAAACACCACAGTCCGCAGCTCGTCCACTGGCTACAACAAAATAAAAGCAAAGACACTTAACACAGAGGGATTTTTATTAATTTCAGACTACAATACATTCACCTTTGATTATGATCACATGCCAACAGATCAAGCTGACAGGAGTAATATCAAAAGCTGAAATATGCAGTGATGGACAGTTCAATCTGTGAATGTTGAAATTCCCTTGCTTTCTAAAAACACACTCAAAAATGTGGACTGAATGGGCTCCAAGCGTTTTAGAGTAAATGATAAGTGCAGAAGTATTGCTTCCAGTGTATCCGCCAGACCAGGGCGGAGAGGGCGTCCAACCTGAGAGCGGGGTGGGGTTTACGTCACGTCGTGTCACGTGACTTGAATTTTGAATTGAGCCGTCCCTTATAGATACTATCTCTTCTCTTTACATATGCACACACACACACACACACACACACACACACACACACACACACACACACACACACACACACACACACACACACACACACACACACACACACACACACACACACACACACACACACACACACACACACACAATTTTGAATTGCGCCGTCCCTTATTTTCGTCACAGGACCGCGCTTTGCTGGCGGCGAAAATAATCCCACCAGACTCCTTTGCCCCTGTCCTTGTCCTTTTTCCTTTTCGTCATTTCAAGCGATGAAAACTCTCGATCTTCTCTCAAATGATTTTTTTTTTGGACTCGGCTCGAGTTCAGGGCGTTCCAAGCTGAATAAGAGCGTCAATGACGGCAAGACGCCCCCCTGGCGGAAACGCTGATTGCTTCACAGGGCTCTTGTTTTAAACACAGTGACTAAGAGGTGAATTGCTACCGGAGAGTTTATTAAATCTTATGTGACGAAACATATTTGACCTCAGGCAGTGATTATCCCATGCTTAAAACACTCCAGAGCGGGAGACAGATTTATGACATTATAATTTCACATGTTCCATGGGAATATTCGTAGGAAATTATTGCATGAACTTCTAAACTCAACCAACTAAATAAAAACCAATCACAAAAAGTAGTATTTCTCATAACTCATCCAATGTTTTTCTTTTTTTGCCACAAAATGGTCATAGCTATGTGACATCATTTTACAAGAACCAGACTCTCTGTATTGCTGTAGCCGTGTTTACCTCATTAATCTTCCATTAATAGACAGCAAATCTTGTATCTAACAGTGTACAATCAGATGTTGAACCATGTGGAATTATGACTGCTGATACACACTGAACTTATACCACCTCCGTTTATAGCCTATGAAAAAACCTATTAGAAAACGAAGGCTAAAGCTAACGTTAGCAGATAGTGACAATGTACGCTAGTTAGCTAGCTCAACGATAATATTGCGACAGAAAAACTTTTCAGTGCACATCACGCTCTGCCGCTCCGACAGGGAGCTCTGCCGCTCCGACAGGGAGCTCTGCCGCACTGACAGGGAGCTCTGCCGCTCCGACAGGGAGCTCTGCCGCTCCGACAGGGAGCTCTGCCGCTCCGACAGGGAGCTCTGCTCTGAACACCCGAACGGCCCGTTCTAACAGCTGTTCACCAGCGGTCCAGTCTGTGCCACAGTGACTCCGGACCACACAGTTAATATTAACGAATGCACCCGTAGGTAATGTAGCTGCTGAAGCTAGACCATCATCGCGGAGCAGCAGAGCCTTATTATACATCCATGAGCAGAGCCGACAGGCAGGAAGACTCGAGCACACAGCTCGCGCTTCATTATAATATATAAAAAAAGAACACCATGCGTGTCATGATGGCACATAACAGCTCGCGGCCGCAGATTACTCCGGGTCCCAGACCCCCCCCATACCCCAAAAATATTTTATTGCAGATCTACATGAATCACACAAACGACCTATTTTGGATTCAAAACGGCGAATTTCGCCGAAAGGTGACAAGTTTGCATCCCTGGAGACATAAAAATGACTATTTTCCTAAACAGGGGAGCAATGTATTTTTTTCCCTTGCAGTTTTTATTATCGATGGCGCCATCACATGTTACCTAGCAAATAAAGCTGGGGGGCCAATGGGCTCTTCCTGCCCTCCGCGCCCTTGCTCAGACCAGACCCATCTCCCAACCTTTATTTTACAACTACAAGCACTTATTAAATGTGTAAAACGTTGTAACTTATTAAAGGTCCCATGTCATGCTTTTCTGGTTATTACCCGTCCCCTTGTGTGCTATGTAGCTTTTTCTGCATGTAAACGGTCTGCAGAGTCACAAACCCTCAAAGTGCACCCTGTAGCGAGTAAAACTCTAACACAGAAAATAGCACAATATAAATGTATTTTAGTAGACCTCAACAATGGAATTATGATCAGTAGAAATGGCCATGACATGGGACCTTTAACTAACTGTGGTTTTTTGAAGTGTATTTGCCGTTGGTTATTTAAGATTCTTTAATACTGCATTATTACGTTTTTTAAATAAAATAATGATTTTTAGGTGGATGTAACTTTATTACCTACAGTGGTTTTGTGATCACTGGATTTCAACACATCTGACATCCATTCAGCTCCAGCTAATTGAAGTATCAGCCTAAGCATCCCAACTAAATAAAGTGATTCTGGGACTGGTTTCCCATGAGTGTGAGTGTTTGTATTCATAAAACAAGGTATTTATATTTTTTGTAAAAAAAACATTTATTTTATATTTCTATGTACACTACATTCTTTGATGGAATAACAATAATACAGGGACCAAATAATAAAGGCAGTCATTCTTGCCAAGCAGGTTTGAGAAATACATTTATAAAATCAGCTCACTGCCTATCATTTAAACTGGAATAACTTTACAAGTAAAAATTATTGTAAAAAGTTTAGAATCTGAAAACACCAAAGTATGCACGCACATTTGACCTTCCCCCGCCCTGTCATGTTAACAGTGACGAATGCTGAACATTTGAGTTTTTCATCGAATACAAACTGGTGGTGATTGAAGTCAGACGTCTTCATCGTAGACCAACTTGACGAACACCTTGTCTTCAAGCGCCTCGTTTCTGTCTGTAGACGTACATGGGCGTGTTGTCTGCCGACGGGCTGGTTTCCCCTCCCTCCTGCTCCTCACTCCTCTCTGCATCCTCCTCTGAGATCAGGTCAGCGTAGGAGGTCACGCAGAGGTCGTGCTCCTGGAGAGACGCCGGGTATCGGAGGGAGGATCTCTCGATTCGCACCGAGCGTCTGACTGGAGTGAAGAAGCGAACCTCCTGGCCGTTCACCCTCACCGGTTCCTTCTGTTGGCTCGGAGGGCCACTGAGGAAAAGAACAACATAATCCTGAATTTCAGTGCATTTGACATTGACAATGAAATAGGTGCGTTTCATTGTACGGTTTTTTTTAATTTACAGGGACTGCTTAAACAACCAAGCAGCTTCTAAACATCAGATTTTAAAACAAAAAGAGGTTTACAAAACATGAAACACCATTAAAGATTTTTGGAGTTTTAGATAGATAAGTACTTTATTGATCCCAATTTGGGAAATGTTTGCGTTGCAGCAGCATAAAAAACAAGGCAATGTACATAAGAGAAATTAAGACACTAGAAATAAACAATCCAAAATATTTCTGAAATAGAAATAAAAATAGCATTAAAAAAATGTGGAAAATATACACGTGGAAATACAAATTTCCAGTAACAAAATATAATGCAGGATATTATATACATAATTGTGCTTTAGTTTAGTTATATATATTATTTATTGTCCAAGAGATGATTATTTGGAACCGTTGTTACGAAAAGTTACAGCTTTTCCTGTTTCTGTCGGAGAGAGGGGAGTTGGTCCCAAAGCCTGACGCTGTATTTACACCCCTCCCCCTAAAGGAGGGAGCCTCACTCAGCTCTGAGTGAGACCACAGACAGAGTGACAGTTGGAAGGGGGCAGTTCGTATTGGGTTCCAAACCTTTTACTATGTCTTGTTTGAAAATGTATGGATATATCGTCCGGCCTTACTTTCTTTTGCACCTAAAGCCACTTCACAAGATCATGCTGGCCCAGAATCAGCTTTCTCCTTATCCAGCCCTTTCCAAGTCTGCATATCATTCACTCACTTGTGAATGAGTCTACTGTTGCCCACTTTAAAACTAAAAAATATATGCATGTTAATGAGACTGTTGGGAAAGACAAGATTTAGATGAGACACGACAGTCACTCCCTTCTTCAGGGCGAAATCACTTTCATTTCTCTGAAAGTCATGTAGAAATGTTTTCTTTTGTCTTTGAGCTGACTCTAAACCAACTGCCAGTAACAGCCATGTGTGCATTCCCTTTGAAGAGCTCATCACAAAGAGAAATGACCCGGGCTGTCACTATAATTCCATTATCACCCGATCTCTTCCTCCACGCCACCTATCCATTGGCATATCTGACAGGTGCCAAGGAGACGTCAGACAAGCACGTAGAGCAGGGCTAGCCAACACGGTGCCCGCGGGGGCAACGTGAGTCGCCCGCGGGGCATGTTCTAAAAATAGCTCGCCAAGCAAATCCAAAATGTATAAAATACACAAAACAAAAAAAGGAAATGTAATTAAAAGAATCTACCCTATGCATAAACGAAACCTAAATCATAGCGAACTCTATTTAGTTACTACAACTCTATATCTATCTAACACCCCTCCTCCCCCCACCCCCACAATGAATATCGACCAATCACGTTCTTGCTTGATTTGCGGGACCAGCGTTGCAGTCGGGAAGAAAAGCACCTCCCCGCTGATTTTCCTTCTGGCAGAATCTACACAACACATCAGCCCCGTTGAGCAGCCTATCGTGCCAGCCTATACAACACATGGGGGGCAGAGTTTTACTCTGTGTGTTGCAACTTGCATATATATGTATTGCACTTGACGCACACACACGCATGGCGTAATTTCCACCTGGGGACAGGGGGGAAATGTCCCCCGCTCTTTTCGAAATTCCGTTTGTGTCCCCCCACTTTACAAATATGTTTATTATTATATTTTTTTAACGCAAGCCGTCATCGCCACGGAGGAGCACACAGCCTCAGTGAGCGAGCGAGACAGAGGGAGAGCGAGAGAGAGAGCTAGGAAGGGAGGCAGGGAGGGAGAGAGAGAGAGAGGGGGAGAGAGAGCGAGCGAGGAGAGCTAGGGAGGGAGGGAGAGAGAGAGAGAGCTAGGGAGAGCACACCTTTATCTATTTAATATAGATAAAGTAAGAAATCATCCCAATGTGTATAGGACAGTAAAAAAAAAAAAAAACAGTTTGAAAGGAGAGTGATTAGTAAAATATGCATAAATAAAAAAGAAAGAATGCTAACTAGGTAACATAAGATAAGAATAAACCAGTTTAAATGATTTGTTATTGGTTGTGATCATATTCTAAAGATGTTTGGATTATTGAAAAGTATACAGCTCCCTTTCATCTGAGTGATGAGAGCTGTTTCCATCAATTCATGATGTGCTCAAAGTGCTCCAGATTGATGCATTTCACTTCAACATTTAAAATTAATCTTCCCGGGGGTGCATGCCCCTAGAGGAGGTGAGGACCCCCCCTAGAGGAGGTGAGGACCCCCCTAGAGGATGTGAGGTCCACCCCCAAATAAAGCAGGTTAAAATAATTAAATTGCATGCATGTTCTTTTAGTAAACACTGAAAACGGGTCCCACAGACCCAAACAGCACACAAAGGTTAAAGGTCAGCATATCATAATGTTAAAATGTGCTAAATATATACACTGCAAAAAACAAAAAAAAGAGGAGTAAAAGTAGCCCCCGACTTGTTTTATTTTTTTAAAGTAGCCCTCACCCTAAAAAAGGTTGGTGACCCCTGATTTAGAGCATCGGGGCAAGCAAAGGCATGGCTCAGCACCAGGGGGGCGGGGGGAACAAGGGCACTTTAGAGTGGTGCTCTAAATGTTATCACTTTGTCTTGAGGGCAATGTTTTTATAAAAGGTATTTTGGTTAGAATCCTGAAATACAATCTGTAGTCAACACAAGCTTAAGAGATGTTCACGTTTTGTTCAAAGTCATAAAAGGGGTCAGTAAATGCTCCACAGCGTTTCTGAAAGTCAAAATTATGATTCCCACATACCCAGGCGTTGCTGTGATCTTGTACTTGACCACCGATGAGTCTCCTCTCTCTCCAAAGATAAGGGCTCTGACAGGTTGAGGAGTCATCGGGATGTCGATACTCTCAGGAGTGCCTTCGTTTGTTGGAATTTGGTCCTCCTCTCTCTCATTCGCTTCAGAAAAAAATGAAAATTTGAATTTATTTTCAACAAAAAGTACTTAATGTTAGGATACTTAAAAAAAAGGCACAAGCAACATGTCTGTAGTGCAAGTTTACACTGCATTAATATTACAATACAGATTCAGATTTGGAGGATGTAGTTTCTGATTGATTTTGCTTTTATTATCTAGTCTGCACTAACTGATATCAATTGACAGGTTTGACTGAAGTTCATAGTCCTATTTCTCAGACAGCAATATGTTCTGCTCCAGAAAAGTCAGCAGAAGGAAGATTAAATTGATAAAGCTTTGGCCGAATTTAACACTATTGTTAATTCTGTGTTATAGTTTCTTTGACCGTCTTGAAAAAGACTGCCGTGGCGCTTACATTTTGTGGCATGTGCCTTTACTGTAATAACAGATGTGTTTGGCTATATCAACATAATGGTAACAATACAATAAACAACAGTTTTCTAATAATGTCAAACTAAGCCGCCCCATCGTGAAACCAAAATACATGAAAAACATATATTTTTGATAAAACACACAGCCGTGCTACATGGGTGAATTGAGAGAGACACAATATATGGAACGTACGAGACGATAATCAGCTGCATACATCATGAGGCCAAATGATCTACTGATTGAAATGTGTGCAATGTAAACAATGCAACACAGCTCATTGATGCTATCATAAATAATATGAATGGTGAAAAACACACAGTGGTTACAAACAAGGCTCATTTGCCAACTACCTTGGATCTCTTCCTTTCTCTTCAGAATCTCAAACACCACAGTCCGCAGCTCGTCCACTGGCTACAACAAATAAAAGCAAAGACACTTAACACAGAGGGATTTTTATTAATTTCAGACTACAATACATTCACCTTTGATTATGATCACATGCCAACAGATCAAGCTGACAGGAGTAATATCAAAAGCTGAAATATGCAGTGATGGACAGTTCAATCTGTGAATGTTGAAATTCCCTTGCTTTCTAAAAACACACTCAAAAATGTGGACTGAATGGGCTCCAAGCGTTTTAGAGTAAATGATAAGTGCAGAAGTATTGCTTCCAGTGTATCCGCCAGACCAGGGCGGAGAGGGCGTCCAACCTGAGAGCGGGGTGGGGTTTACGTCACGTCGTGTCACGTGACTTGAATTTTGAATTGAGCCGTCCCTTATAGATACTATCTCTTCTCTTTATACACACACACACACACACACACACACACACACACACACACACACACACACACACACACACACACACACACACACACACACACACACACACACAATTTTGAATTGCGCCGTCCCTTATTTTCGTCACAGGACCGCGCTTTGCTGGCGGCGAAAATAATCCCACCAGACTCCTTTGCCCCTGTCCTTGTCCTTTTTCCTTTTCGTCATTTCAAGCGATGAAAACTCTCGATCTTCTCTCAAATGATTTTTTTTTTGGACTCGGCTCGAGTTCAGGGCGTTCCAAGCTGAATAAGAGCGTCAATGACGGCAAGACGCCCCCCTGCGGAAAACGCTGATTGCTTCACAGGGCTCTTGTTTTAAACACAGTGACTAAGAGGTGAATTGCTACCGGAGAGTTTATTAAATCTTATGTGACGAAACATATTTGACCTCAGGCAGTGATTATCCCATGCTTAAAACACTCCAGAGCGGGAGACAGATTTATGACATTATAATTTCACATGTTCCATGGGAATATTCGTAGGAAATTATTGCATGAACTTCTAAACTCAACCAACTAAATAAAAACCAATCACAAAAAGTAGTATTTCTCATAACTCATCCAATGTTTTTCTTTTTTTTGCCACAAAATGGTCATAGCTATGTGACATCATTTTACAAGAACCAGACTCTCTGTATTGCTGTAGCCGTGTTTACCTCATTAATCTTCCATTAATAGACAGCAAATCTTGTATCTAACAGTGTACAATCAGATGTTGAACCATGTGGAATTATGACTGCTGATACACACTGAACTTATACCACCTCCGTTTATAGCCTATGAAAAAACCTATTAGAAAACGAAGGCTAAAGCTAACGTTAGCAGATAGTGACAATGTACGCTAGTTAGCTAGCTCAACGATAATATTGCGACAGAAAAACTTTTCAGTGCACATCACGCTCTGCCGCTCCGACAGGGAGCTCTGCCGCTCCGACAGGGAGCCCTGCCGCACTGACAGGGAGCTCTGCCGTCCGACAGGGAGCTCTGCCGCTCCGACAGGGAGCTCTGCCGCTCCGACAGGGAGCTCTGCTCTGAACACCCGAACGGCCCGTTCTAACAGCTGTTCACCAGCGGTCCAGTCTGTGCCACAGTGACTCCGGACCACACAGTTAATATTAACGAATGCACCCGTAGGTAATGTAGCTGCTGAAGCTAGACCATCATCGCGGAGCAGCAGAGCCTTATTATACATCCATGAGCAGAGCCGACAGGCAGGAAGACTCGAGCACACAGCTCGCGCTTCATTATAATATATAAAAAAAGAACACCATGCGTGTCATGATGGCACATAACAGCTCGCGGCCGCAGATTACTCCGGGTCCCAGACCCCCCCCATACCCCAAAAATATTTTTATTGCAGATCTACATGAATCACACAAACGACCTATTTTGGATTCAAAACGGCGAATTTCACCGAAAGGTGACAAGTTTGCATCCCTGGAGACATAAAAATGACTATTTTCCTAAACAGGGGAGCAATGTATTTTTTTCCCTTGCAGTTTTTATTATCGATGGCGCCATCACATGTTACCTAGCAAATAAAGCTGGGGGGCCAATGGGCTCTTCCTGCCCTCCGCGCCCTTGCTCAGACCAGACCCATCTCCCAACCTTTATTTTACAACTACAAGCACTTATTAATGTGTAAAACGTTGTAACTTATTAAAGGTCCCATGTCATGCTTTTCTGGTTATTACCCGTCCCCTTGTGTGCTATGTAGCTTTTTCTGCATGTAAACGGTCTGCAGAGTCACAAACCCTCAAAGTGCACCCTGTAGCGAGTAAAACTCTAACACAGAAAATAGCACAATATAAATGTATTTTAGTAGACCTCAACAATGGAATTATGATCAGTAGAAATGGCCATGACATGGGACCTTTAACTAACTGTGGTTTTTTGAAGTGTATTTGCCGTTGGTTATTTAAGATTCTTTAATACTGCATTATTACGTTTTTTAAATAAAATAATGATTTTTAGGTGGATGTAACTTTATTACCTACAGTGGTTTTGTGATCACTGGATTTCAACACATCTGACATCCATTCAGCTCCAGCTAATTGAAGTATCAGCCTAAGCATCCCAACTAAATAAAGTGATTCTGGGACTGGTTTCCCATGAGTGTGAGTGTTTGTATTCATAAAACAAGGTATTTATATTTTTTGTAAAAAAAACATTTATTTTATATTTCTATGTACACTACATTCTTTGATGGAATAACAATAATACAGGGACCAAATAATAAAGGCAGTCATTCTTGCCAAGCAGGTTTGAGAAATACATTTATAAAATCAGCTCACTGCCTATCATTTAAACTGGAATAACTTTACAAGTAAAATTATTGTAAAAAGTTTAGAATCTGAAACACCAAAGTATGCACGCACATTTGACCTTCCCCCGCCCTGTCATGTTAACAGTGACGAATGCTGAACATTTGAGTTTTTCATCGAATACAAACTGGTGGTGATTGAAGTCAGACGTCTTCATCGTAGACCAACTTGACGAACACCTTGTCTTCAAGCGCCTCGTTCTGTCTGTAGACGTACATGGGCGTGTTGTCTGCCGACGGGCTGGTTTCCCCTCCCTCCTGCTCCTCACTCCTCTCTGCATCCTCCTCTGAGATCAGGTCAGCGTAGGAGGTCACGCAGAGGTCGTGCTCCTGGAGAGACGCCGGGTATCGGAGGGAGGATCTCTCGATTCGCACCGAGCGTCTGACTGGAGTGAAGAAGCGAACCTCCTGGCCGTTCACCCTCACCGGTTCCTTCCGTTGGCTCGGAGGGCCACTGAGGAAAAGAACAACATAATCCTGAATTTCAGTGCATTTGACATTGACAATGAAATAGGTGCGTTTCATTGTACGGTTTTTTTAATTTACAGGGACTGCTTAAACAACCAAGCAGCTTCTAAACATCAGATTTTAAAACAAAAAGAGGTTTACAAAACATGAAACACCATTAAAGATTTTTGGGGTTTTAGATAGATAAGTACTTTATTGATCCCAATTTGGGAAATGTTTGCGTTGCAGCAGCATAAAAAACAAGGCAATGTACATAAGAGAAATTAAGACACTAGAAATAAACAATCCAAAATATTTCTGAAATAGAAATAAAAATAGCATTAAAAAAATGTGGAAAATATACACGTGGAAATACAAATTTCCAGTAACAAAATATAATGCAGGATATTATATACATAATTGTGCTTTAGTTTAGTTATATATATTATTTATTGTCCAAGAGATGATTATTTGGAACCGTTGTTACGAAAAGTTACAGCTTTTCCTGTTTCTGTCGGAGAGAGGGGAGTTGGTCCCAAAGCCTGACGCTGTATTTACACCCCTCCCCCTAAAGGAGGGAGCCTCACTCAGCTCTGAGTGAGACCACAGACAGAGTGACAGTTGGAAGGGGGCAGTTCGTATTGGGTTCCAAACCTTTTACTATGTCTTGTTTGAAAATGTATGGATATATCGTCCGGCCTTACTTTCTTTTGCACCTAAGCCACTTCACAAGATCATGCTGGCCCAGAATCAGCTTTCTCCTTATCCAGCCCTTTCCAAGTCTGCATATCATTCACTCACTTGTGAATGAGTCTACTGTTGCCCACTTTAAAACTAAAAAATATATGCATGTTAATGAGACTGTTGGGAAAGACAAGATTTAGATGAGACACGACAGTCACTCCCTTCTTCAGGGCGAAATCACTTTCATTTCTCTGAAAGTCATGTAGAAATGTTTTCTTTTGTCTTTGAGCTGACTCTAAACCAACTGCCAGTAACAGCCATGTGTGCATTCCCTTTGAAGAGCTCATCACAAAGAGAAATGACCCGGGCTGTCACTATAATTCCATTATCACCCGATCTCTTCCTCCACGCCACCTATCCATTGGCATATCTGACAGGTGCCAAGGAGACGTCAGACAAGCACGTAGAGCAGGGCTAGCCAACACGGTGCCCGCGGGGGCAACGTGAGTCGCCCGCGGGGTATGTTCTAAAAATAGCTCGCCAAGCAAATCCAAAATGTATAAAATACACAAAACAAAAAAGGAAATGTAATTAAAAGAATCTACCCTATGCATAAACGAAACCTAAATCATAGCGAACTCTATTTAGTTACTACAACTCTATATCTATCTAACACCCCTCCTCCCCCCACCCCCACAATGAATATCGACCAATCACGTTCTTGCTTGATTTGCGGGACCAGCGTTGCAGTCGGGAAGAAAAGCACCTCCCTGCTGATTTTCCTTCTGGCAGAATCTACACAACACATCAGCCCCGTTGAGCAGCCTATCGTGCCAGCCTATACAGCACATGGGGGGCAGAGTTTTACTCTGTGTGTTGCAACTTGCATATATATGTATTGCACTTGACGCACACACACGCATGGCGTAATTTCCACCTGGGGACAGGGGGGAAATGTCCCCCGCTCTTTTCGAAATTCCGTTTGTGTCCCCCCACTTTACAAATATGTTTATTATTATATTTTTTTAACGCAAGCCGTCATCGCCACGGAGGAGCACACAGCCTCAGTGAGCGAGCGAGACAGAGGGAGAGCGAGAGAGAGAGCTAGGAAGGGAGGCAGGGAGGGAGAGAGAGAGAGAGGGGGAGAGAGAGCGAGCGAGAGAGCTAGGGAGGGAGGGAGAGAGAGAGAGAGCTAGGGAGAGCACACCTTTATCTATTTAATATAGATAAAGTAAGAAATCATCCCAATGTGTATAGGACAGTAAAAAAAAAAAAAACAGTTTGAAAGGAGAGTGATTAGTAAAATAAGCATAAATAAAAAGAAAGAATGCTAACTAGGTAACATAAGATAAGAATAAACCAGTTTAAATGATTTGTTATTGGTTGTGATCATATTCTAAAGATGTTTGGATTATTGAAAAGTATACAGCTCCCTTTCATCTGAGTGATGAGAGCTGTTTCCATCAATTCATGTTGTGCTCAAAGTGCTCCAGATTGATGCATTTCACTTCAACATTTAAAATTAATCTTCCCGGGGGTGCATGCCCCTAGAGGAGGTGAGGACCCCCCTAGAGGAGGTGAGGACCCCCCTAGAGGATGTGAGGTCCACCCCCAAATAAAGCAGGTTAAAATAATTAAATTGCATGCATGTTCTTTTAGTAAACACTGAAAACGGGTCCCACAGACCCAAACAGCACACAAAGGTTAAAGGTCAGCATATCATAATGTTAAAATGTGCTAAATATATACACTGCAAAAAACAAAAAAAAGAGGAGTAAAAGTAGCCCCCGACTTGTTTTATTTTTTTAAAGTAGCCCTCACCCTAAAAAAGGTTGGTGACCCCTGACGTAGAGCATCGGGGCAAGCAAAGGCATGGCTCAGCACCAGGGGGGCGGGGGGAACAAGGGCACTTTAGAGTGGTGCTCTAAATGTTATCACTTTGTCTTGAGGGCAATGTTTTTATAAAAGGTATTTTGGTTAGAATCCTGAAATACAATCTGTAGTCAACACAAGCTTAAGAGATGTTCACGTTTTGTTCAAAGTCATAAAAGGGGTCAGTAAATGCTCCACAGCGTTTCTGAAAGTCAAAATTATGATTCCCACATACCCAGGCGTTGCTGTGATCTTGTACTTGACCACCGATGAGTCTCCTCTCTCTCCAAAGATAAGGGCTCTGACAGGTTGAGGAGTCATCGGGATGTCGATACTCTCAGGAGTGCCTTCGTTTGTTGGAATTTGGTCCTCCTCTCTCTCATTCGCTTCAGAAAAAAAATGAAAATTTGAATTTATTTTCAACAAAAAGTACTTAATGTTAGGATACTTAAAAAAAAGGCACAAGCAACATGTCTGTAGTGCAAGTTTACACTGCATTAATATTACAATACAGATTCAGATTTGGAGGATGTAGTTTCTGATTGATTTTGCTTTTATTATCTAGTCTGCACTAACTGATATCAATTGACAGGTTTGACTGAAGTTCATAGTCCTATTTCTCAGACAGCAATATGTTCTGCTCCAGAAAAGTCAGCAGAAGGAAGATTAAATTGATAAAGCTTTGGCCGAATTTAACACTATTGTTAATTCTGTGTTATAGTTTCTTTGACCGTCTTGAAAAAGACTGCCGTGGCGCTTACATTTTGTGGCATGTGCCTTTACTGTAATAACAGATGTGTTTGGCTATATCAACATAATGGTAACAATACAATAAACAACAGTTTTCTAATAATGTCAAACTAAGCCGCCCCATCGTGAAACCAAAATACATGAAAAACATATATTTTTGATAAAACACACAGCCGTGCTACATGGGTGAATTGAGAGAGACACAATATATGGAACGTACGAGACGATAATCAGCTGCATACATCATGAGGCCAAATGATCTACTGATTGAAATGTGTGCAATGTAAACAATGCAACACAGCTCATTGATGCTATCATAAATAATATGAATGGTGAAAAACACACAGTGGTTACAAACAAGGCTCATTTGCCAACTACCTTGGATCTCTTCCTTTCTCTTCAGAATCTCAAACACCACAGTCCGCAGCTCGTCCACTGGCTACAACAAAATAAAAGCAAAGACACTTAACACAGAGGGATTTTTATTAATTTCAGACTACAATACATTCACCTTTGATTATGATCACATGCCAACAGATCAAGCTGACAGGAGTAATATCAAAAGCTGAAATATGCAGTGATGGACAGTTCAATCTGTGAATGTTGAAATTCCCTTGCTTTCTAAAAACACACTCAAAAATGTGGACTGAATGGGCTCCAAGCGTTTTAGAGTAAATGATAAGTGCAGAAGTATTGCTTCCAGTGTATCCGCCAGACCAGGGCGGAGAGGGCGTCCAACCTGAGAGCGGGGTGGGGTTTACGTCACGTCGTGTCACGTGACTTGAATTTTGAATTGAGCCGTCCCTTATAGATACTATCTCTTCTCTTTACATATGCACACACACACACACACAATTTTGAATTGCGCCGTCCCTTATTTTCGTCACAGGACCGCGCTTTGCTGGCGGCGAAAATAATCCCACCAGACTCCTTTGCCCCTGTCCTTGTCCTTTTTCCTTTTCGTCATTTCAAGCGATGAAAACTCTCGATCTTCTCTCAAATGATTTTTTTTTTTGGACTCGGCTCGAGTTCAGGGCGTTCCAAGCTGAATAAGAGCGTCAATGACGGCAAGACGCCCCCCTGGCGGAAACGCTGATTGCTTCACAGGGCTCTTGTTTTAAACACAGTGACTAAGAGGTGAATTGCTACCGGAGAGTTTATTAAATCTTATGTGACGAAACATATTTGACCTCAGGCAGTGATTATCCCATGCTTAAAACACTCCAGAGCGGGAGACAGATTTATGACGTTATAATTTCACATGTTCCATGGGAATATTCGTAGGAAATTATTGCATGAACTTCTAAACTCAACCAACTAAATAAAAACCAATCACAAAAAGTAGTATTTCTCATAACTCATCCAATGTTTTTCTTTTTTTGCCACAAAATGGTCATAGCTATGTGACATCATTTTACAAGAACCAGACTCTCTGTATTGCTGTAGCCGTGTTTACCTCATTAATCTTCCATTAATAGACAGCAAATCTTGTATCTAACAGTGTACAATCAGATGTTGAACCATGTGGAATTATGACTGCTGATACACACTGAACTTATACCACCTCCGTTTATAGCCTATGAAAAAACCTATTAGAAAACGAAGGCTAAAGCTAACGTTAGCAGATAGTGACAATGTACGCTAGTTAGCTAGCTCAACGATAATATTGCGACAGAAAAACTTTTCAGTGCACATCACGCTCTGCCGCTCCGACAGGGAGCTCTGCCGCTCCGACAGGGAGCTCTGCTCTGAACACCCGAACGGCCCGTTCTAACAGCTGTTCACCAGCGGTCCAGTCTGTGCCACAGTGACTCCGGACCACACAGTTAATATTAACGAATGCACCCGTAGGTAATGTAGCTGCTGAAGCTAGACCATCATCGCGGAGCAGCAGAGCCTTATTATACATCCATGAGCAGAGCCGACAGGCAGGAAGACTCGAGCACACAGCTCGCGCTTCATTATAATATATAAAAAAAGAACACCATGCGTGTCATGATGGCACATAACAGCTCGCGGCCGCAGATTACTCCGGGTCCCAGACCCCCCCCATACCCCAAAAATATTTTTATTGCAGATCTACATGAATCACACAAACGACCTATTTTGGATTCAAAACGGCGAATTTCACCGAAAGGTGACAAGTTTGCATCCCTGGAGACATAAAAATGACTATTTTCCTAAACAGGGGAGCAATGTATTTTTTTTCCCTTGCAGTTTTTATTATCGATGGCGCCATCACATGTTACCTAGCAAATAAAGCTGGGGGGCCAATGGGCTCTTCCTGCCCTCCGCGCCCTTGCTCAGACCAGACCCATCTCCCAACCTTTATTTTACAACTACAAGCACTTATTAAATGTGTAAAACGTTGTAACTTATTAAAGGTCCCATGTCATGCTTTTCTGGTTATTACCCGTCCCCTTGTGTGCTATGTAGCTTTTTCTGCATGTAAACGGTCTGCAGAGTCACAAACCCTCAAAGTGCACCCTGTAGCGAGTAAAACTCTAACACAGAAAATAGCACAATATAAATGTATTTTAGTAGACCTCAACAATGGAATTATGATCAGTAGAAATGGCCATGACATGGGACCTTTAACTAACTGTGGTTTTTTGAAGTGTATTTGCCGTTGGTTATTTAAGATTCTTTAATACTGCATTATTACGTTTTTTTAAATAAAATAATGATTTTTAGGTGGATGTAACTTTATTACCTACAGTGGTTTTGTGATCACTGGATTTCAACACATCTGACATCCATTCAGCTCCAGCTAATTGAAGTATCAGCCTAAGCATCCCAACTAAATAAAGTGATTCTGGGACTGGTTTCCCATGAGTGTGAGTGTTTGTATTCATAAAACAAGGTATTTATATTTTTTGTAAAAAAAAACATTTATTTTATATTTCTATGTACACTACATTCTTTGATGGAATAACAATAATACAGGGACCAAATAATAAAGGCAGTCATTCTTGCCAAGCAGGTTTGAGAAATACATTTATAAAATCAGCTCACTGCCTATCATTTAAACTGGAATAACTTTACAAGTAAAAATTATTGTAAAAAGTTTAGAATCTGAAAACACCAAAGTATGCACGCACATTTGACCTTCCCCCGCCCTGTCATGTTAACAGTGACGAATGCTGAACATTTGAGTTTTTCATCGAATACAAACTGGTGGTGATTGAAGTCAGACGTCTTCATCGTAGACCAACTTGACGAACACCTTGTCTTCAAGCGCCTCGTTCTGTCTGTAGACGTACATGGGCGTGTTGTCTGCCGACGGGCTGGTTTCCCCTCCCTCCTGCTCCTCACTCCTCTCTGCATCCTCCTCTGAGATCAGGTCAGCGTAGGAGGTCACGCAGAGGTCGTGCTCCTGGAGAGACGCCGGGTATCGGAGGGAGGATCTCTCGATTCGCACCGAGCGTCTGACTGGAGTGAAAGAAGCGAACCTCCTGGCCGTTCACCCTCACCGGTTCCTTCCGTTGGCTCGGAGGGCCACTGAGGAAAAGAACAACATAATCCTGAATTTCAGTGCATTTGACATTGACAATGAAATAGGTGCGTTTCATTGTACGGTTTTTTTAATTTACAGGGACTGCTTAAACAACCAAGCAGCTTCTAAACATCAGATTTTAAAACAAAAAGAGGTTTACAAAACATGAAACACCATTAAAGATTTTGGAGTTTTAGATAGATAAGTACTTTATTGATCCCAATTTGGGAAATGTTTGCGTTGCAGCAGCATAAAAAACAAGGCAATGTACATAAGAGAAATTAAGACACTAGAAATAAACAATCCAAAATATTTCTGAAATAGAAATAAAAATAGCATTAAAAAAATGTGGAAAATATACACGTGGAAATACAAATTTCCAGTAACAAAATATAATGCAGGATATTATATACATAATTGTGCTTTAGTTTAGTTATATATATTATTTATTGTCCAAGAGATGATTATTTGGAACCGTTGTTACGAAAAGTTACAGCTTTTCCTGTTTCTGTCGGAGAGAGGGGAGTTGGTCCCAAAGCCTGACGCTGTATTTACACCCCTCCCCTAAAGGAGGGAGCCTCACTCAGCTCTGAGTGAGACCACAGACAGAGTGACAGTTGGAAGGGGGCAGTTCGTATTGGGTTCCAAACCTTTTACTATGTCTTGTTTGAAAAATGTATGGATATATCGTCCGGCCTTACTTCTTTTGCACCTAAAGCCACTTCACAAGATCATGCTGGCCCAGAATCAGCTTTCTCCTTATCCAGCCCTTTCCAAGTCTGCATATCATTCACTCACTTGTGAATGAGTCTACTGTTGCCCACTTTAAAACTAAAAATATATGCATGTTAATGAGACTGTTGGGAAAGACAAGATTTAGATGAGACACGACAGTCACTCCCTTCTTCAGGGCGAAATCACTTTCATTTCTCTGAAAGTCATGTAGAAATGTTTTCTTTTGTCTTTGAGCTGACTCTAAACCAACTGCCAGTAACAGCCATGTGTGCATTCCCTTTGAAGAGCTCATCACAAAGAGAAATGACCCGGGCTGTCACTATAATTCCATTATCACCCGATCTCTTCCTCCACGCCACCTATCCATTGGCATATCTGACAGGTGCCAAGGAGACGTCAGACAAG